ATGCACGACTCCTACACTTGTCCGAACTCCGACTGATCAGTGATTGCGACTGTCGTCCTTCAGCTGGCAACATTGGTTTCTTCTCGTGAGATGGAAAAAAGATTAGAGCAGTGCAACCTAGGTTTTGACCTAACTTACTTGGAGGAAGGACTTATCAATCAAGTATTGCCAGGGTTAATGTATGCAGACGACATTGTACTCGTAGCAGAAAGTCGTGAGACAATACGGGAACTGATTAGGATTTGCTGCAGGGAAGTTTAGTTTAGTTGGTAGTTTAGGCCTAAACTTCAGTAAGGACAAGTTGGGTATAATAGTTTTCAACGACGAGAAGGGGGAACCACTGGAGATACAGGGCACAGTGATAGAACACGTAGAAGAGTACAAATATCTGGGAGTATGGTTAAGTGAGGGAAGAACGTATCTAAAAGAACATGAAGATATTGTAATAAAGAAGGGGAAACAAGATTGTGAAACACAGGGCACTCTGGAACTACAACAGATATGAAGTCGATAGGGGTGTATGGAAGGATGTCATGATGCCAGGACCAGTGTTGGGTAAAGTACATCTAAAAGGTACTTCAAGTAAAGTACAAAGTAAATGAGACGTGATGTACTTTAAGGAAAGTATTAAGTACACTGGATGCAACATACTACTTGAAGTAAAGTACTATAAATACAATGTACTTTCAGAGTAATTAAGGTGCAAGTATTTTAACACAATCTTTCATGATGCCCTTTCATTCCCCATATACAGTAATTTTTAACTGGTATGCATTCTCCAGGGGTACTAGGGTGCATGACCTGTTTTCAAGAACAGCGGCGAATATTTGATAAAGTGAATTTGCCACAGAGAAGTTATTTTCAGGAATGGAGCCAAATTCAGAAGTCCCTCTTTTGAATTTGGCGCCCCTTGCACTGGATTGTTGCACACAATGGGGCTAAATGTAGGAGAGAGCTTGACGTCAGCCCCGTAACCTCTGCAAGCAATCCTCTCATAAAGGAGTGTCCTCTCCTTAATAAAAAAAAGCAAAAAAACAGTGAGTGTGCAAGCAAACTGGTGATAATTAGTCATAATGTGACACCCGAGATTGGGGTGCAAAAAGAAATTAAGGAACTTTCAAATAGAAGGAAAAGACAAAAAAGAATGTCTCAAAACATTCTGACGTTCTCCTCCGCTGTCTTTTACTTCGACCTGAAAATTTAATTTTTCCAAACCACAGTCTCAGGTGCTACATTATTATTAATTTTGCTCCCCTAATAGTTTAAACCTCCTCCTTTGCGCTGGCCGACGGAGAAGTAGCGAGAGTTCAAAAAGCTTCGGGAAAGCCGCACCCAGAACAAACGGAGCGATGTGTCGGGGGATCGGTGGCCGAGTGGTCTAGCGCACACCAGCTCGGAGCACGTGGAGCGAAAGCTCGCGCTGCAGAACCCAGGGATCCTGGGTTCGAGCCCCACCCCTGCCCGTTTCGATCTGGATGAGCATCGTACCGGCGTGCGGTCGTGTATCACTACTGCGTGATGCACGTGAAAGACCCCAGGCTAGCGGCTGTACCGCACTGGCTAAATTTCTCATCTACAGCTGGGAGACTCGTCGCCCCTGTGAGGCAGACCAAGTTCTAGGCTGTATAAACACACACACAAAAAAAAGAGCGATGTGTCGTCTGCTCACGCTTCTGGTGAGAGTAGAATATCCCTCCCAGTATTTCTTCGAAGTTGGCAAAGCATCATTTCGTAATACAAATTTAACAAAACCAAATTTGGGGAATGTACTTTGAAGTCGGGAATTGTACTTTCGTCGGAAAGTACCAGAAAAAAATACTTTAAGTAAAGTACAAGAACATACTCAGTGAATGTACTTAGAGTAAAGTACAAGTTTCCTAAACCTACTTGAAGTAGTACTTGAAGTACAATGTACTTAGAGTACTTCCCAACACTGGCCAGGACTGTCATTTGGGAATGCGATATTGTGTATGACGTCAGAGATCCAGGCAGGTTTAGAGATACAGCAGAGAAGTGTGGGTAGGTTGGCATTGGGCGCGTTCAGTAGCGCCTCCCTTGCCTCCGAACGGAGTGCCTCGAGTTGGAGTCATCGGAGCGCCTACTGAACGGCAAAAAAACCCGCGGTTCCAAGCCTGCTTCTACGCAACTTCCGCTTCCTCCCCTGCGCCAGACGGTCTCCGAATAAACTGGAAGCAGACGATGGCGAGCACGATCGCTTTTATTTGACCCCGGTATTGAAAAAGTCTTTACAAGGTGGTTGAAGAAAAAGCGGGTGATTGTACACATCAGCGCTGCTGTTCGAAGCGATGCAACGCGATCGAGCCCTTCGCTTGGCGGTGCAAAGGCAGCTACTGTTATAAAAGCCGACAAGAAACGTCGTCAGCACACGCAAAATACAGAGCTCAGCAAATCTACCCCGCCGGTTGCGATACTTTTATACGGCCATAAGTTTGTTCTGCCCTTCGTAACGAACTTCCCATAAAATGTATTCGTATACACACGGGAAGTTCGGCCGCGCTCGGCGATCAAGGTTTTGTCGGCCGAAGCGAGCCTCAGCCAACGTGCACCCCGATTTAGCTACGCAAACAAAACATTAATCGGTATCATGCTCTGCGTGAGTGTCCAAACGGCTTCCAAAGTCGCGTTCATACCCTGTTTTGCTCTGTTGAGCGCGGACAGGACTATCGTCAATTACCGAGTTTCCGTGCAACGGTGATCAAGACACAGCGTCAAATGAACGTTTGCGTTGTTTATTAGCATATTCAAACCAAACAAAATACTGTCCAATGCATTTTCCAAAAGAGCCTTACCTGAAAAAGATATTCGAAAGCGTTATTCGTCTTACCTAGAGCACTTTTCATTAACAAAAGCGAGCGAACCGCGCACCCGCGACAGAACCGAAGCAGTTTATCCCGCCATATTGTTTGTTGTTTCCTCTTTTAGCGCCGGAAATCGTCGCCAGTCAGGAAATGACGTCATTTTAGCTCCTTTGACTCTACGTGCACCGTCTCCGGACTCGGTGCTTCGGAGCTTGACTCCGAAGCCCCGGAGTTACGTGCACCGGAAGTGACTTTTGGCCGTCCAGTGGAAGGAGTCAGTGACTCCTTGACTCCGGGGCCGCTACTGAACGCGCCCATTGGAGGCACATTGGAATACACCAAATGAAGGAGCACAGGGGGATATGGGGTGGGCATCTTTCGAGAGTAGAGAAGCGATCAGTAAAGTAAAATTTGAACAAAGACTAGCTGAAATTGAGGATACACGGTGGGCAGCGAAAGTGTGCAAGTATGAAAAGTCTAAACACTAAGTGGACAAACCGAACCCGCAAGCTGAGACTTAAATACATTCAACGAGATGGGGCCGATCAGAGCATTTCAGTAGAAAGGGAGTAAAGGAATCTGATAGGAAATCGTATACGAGGAGAGAATGCAGGGGAAATCAGCTTTAACAATATACAAGGCACAAAAACAAGAAATGAAGGAGGAACAGTTGTATGATAATTCATTGGGGAGCTCATTGTTCTTCGAAGCTCCAACGGGGGCGCTAAGAACGAAAAGGGCTAAATTCCAGGAAATAGACACTCTATGCGGAATATACAACCGCGTAAGGGAAACTATAGAACATGTAATTTTAAGGTGCACGTGGCTTCATCGCCCCCTCTTGGGGAAGGGGGGGAGAGACTACGGATTTGGAGGGAGCACTGGGATTTGTAAGCATGGATGGACGAATGGATAGGGAAAGAATTGCGGTAGCTAAGAGGAGATTGGGAGATTGGTGGAAAAGATCTAAGGAGGGGTAAAAATGCAGATAAAAATAAGCAATGGAAACACTTTAAAAAAAGGGGGGGGGGGGGGGTTGCTAAAACAAAATGTATGCAAATTAAAAAAAAAATTACGAAATGTAATTTCGTAATTTTTACAAAGGGGTTACAAAGGGTATATAGCCATTACCATCCATCCATCTATCGAGCTCCTTCGCGATCTTGCACTCGACTCCAGACAGCGTTACTAGAACCACTAAGTTGGGAAACTGCCATAGAGCCTGCTTTAAAAAAGTGGCTCCGATCCGTACTCAAGAACCGAGCTAGTCGCGATCGCAACGCAGCCATTTCTCCCCGCAGCGTCCACTCTGGGCACTGCACGGCTGCACGTCGAGTCGGGCAAGGGCTGGTGGCGCCATCTCGCAGGGCGATCTCGCAGTAACTATGTAAAACAACTTTCATGTTTCAACTCGCCGCTATAGGGTGGCGCTGTTATCGTATTCAGCTCGGTCTTGGTGGACGCCAGCGGCCCAGGTTTCAAGGGTGAGATTCCCAGCTGAGGGTTTTAGTAACGTTGACGACAGATGTCGGCGCACAGGATTTGCCACTCCTCCTCACCCACCTTTACATCCCTGGTGCGAAGAAACAAAGCAATAGGTGTAGCACGGTCTCGCAATGCGGGTGGAATGGTGCCGTCACTTACCTGAGGACGGAGGTGCGACGTGGTTAATTCTCATAGCCGTCGTGGTTAACCTCATGGAGAGACGTCTGCCACCAGTCAGCGCGGTGGGAGTTTCTAAAACCATCCAACTTTACGCGTATCAACTGGTAACTGCGAAAGTGTGATTTCGCATAACGCGAGTAATGTTTGAAAACAAGTCTTTCAAGCATTTAATCATGAAATACCAACTAGCCTAAACTTCCACGTTAATCTTTCAAGCAGACGACCGGAAGACTCTCCCTTTGTCGCGTCGTTCTGGCGGGATGCCGGGGCTCCCCGCTCTACTCTCTTTTCGCTGTGGAACCGACGGGAAAACCCGACTTAGATGGCCTCGCGCCAAGAGCGGAGAAAAGAAGGGTTTTTTTTTCCTTCGCGCGTGAGGCGATGACAACGGACGACGTCAAAATTTCCGCGAAGTGTCGCCCGTACAGCTATCGCTTTAAAATTCTGCCGCCACCTTGTTTGAAAACCGCGCCCAGCGGAGCGGCCGAGCGATTGGCTTGAGCCGGTGTGCGTCGTGTCGACGCAGCGGTGGCGGCGGTAGTGCGCCGCGCGTCCGCGGGCCGCGTCTCGCTCTCGACCGCACGTGAGCAACGTCTAGTTTTTATTAAGGGCAAAATGCTTCGCCTAAATTTAGTTTCTATTCGCGTGATATTTATTTTCAGTGTTTATGTTTTCAAAGCTTATTCATGTGAGTCTATTTACAGCACGTGACACGTCAGCCGCGTCAGCCTTCCCCACTTTCCGACATGTCTGCCACTTGACCGCGCTGAATAACATTGAGCACGAGGATACTGGCAGTTCAAGTGAGGAAGTTCGTGTGCATTTGTTTTGTTGCTTGAGTTTGCTGTAGTCCTGGGCTCGGGAGAGAGCGGCTATCCTCGGTGATTCATAAAGTAAACGCTCATCCCTCTTTGCGTCGATCATGCAGTGCACTTACGCGCTCAGCCGCGCGTGCTGTGCGAGATTTTTACTTGCTCCCTTGTTGCAATACCTTGACGTGATCGATGCCCGCAAAGCACGTCGTCTCTTACGACGGTATCACAACCACGCCAAGTCGAACAGCAGCTCGCTCTATGTTCACGTGAGTACCAGCGCTTCCTTTTGCGCATCCCATTCTGGAAACAGGGATTTTGCGTAGATCGTACGCAAGAGCTTTGCGATGTTAGCGCAAGAGGTTTGCGTTGTTAGCAAGAGCTCGTGCCTTTACTTTGAGCGCGGATAGAGCAGGTTTTCCCTAGATCGTAGACTGCTGATAGGCAGCGATACGTGCCCACCCTCCCGGAGTAGAATCGAGTAAATTTTGGGAAACGGACTATATGTCCAAAAAGCATAAATCAAACACATAAATGCATGAAACAACCGGTTGTCCCACTATCCGCACTCAGAGTTCGAAGAGGGACAGACGGAACAACCGAGGAGCAGAATTCTGCTCAGTAGTGCTGGTGGGCGGCCACTTTGAAACTCTAGCCTGTGAGGAAATAGAAAAACTTCCATGGCGTGGCACGCGGGACAATGAAAAGCCGGTGGCCCTGGGCCAAGCGGGCACACCGAGGAAAGTACAACACGTCAGACCAGGTAGGAAGTGGAAGCGTGACTGCTGTATTTTCAGCAAATAGTGCAGCACTCGGGCTCCGTGCGCTAGCCTGCCACACACCAAAGAGCGTGCCACCTGCTATAGTAAACACGAAGTGTCAACATTACATGCTCCTGTTTATTATACCCTCAATCAGCGCGAGACCAGCTATGTCTATCGATAACACATGGGCTAACTACGGCAGCGGTACAATCGTCCCGTGCCACACGGTTCACAAAGAGCTATTCCTGATCCACGGGCCGACACTTGTCGAACCTGTGGCATCAGCCATCGAAACACCATACCTCTGCGACTTTGCACTTGCCCGAGTCCTGTGCTGACGTTCTGGGCAAAGAGCTCCGTCTTTTATGACCAATCGGCAAGAACATACTCCCAACCACTGCCAGAGGGTGCCGAAACATCCTCTGTAGGTCAGAAGGGCAAACGGAGGTCAAGAGGCCTCGTGAAATCACGGGGCACCACACTGTCGGGTGCTGTTTTATTGTAGGACTGGTGGTGCATGGACATCTGCATTTCACAAGATTTGTCTTCAAATGTTTAATTTTTATGCAAAAAAAAAAAATCGAAGACCATTTTTTGTGGAAGAATCTGTGCTGCGACCTCTTAAAGGGACACTGACAGTGTATTTATGATTGCCAAAGTTTTTATTTGTACATGACATATGAAAGCCCACCTACCCAGACCACAGTTTGTAGGTCAAAATTAGTTTTCTTTCTGCCCAAAAACCGCCGATCGAGGACTGGCCAGTTTGAGTCGTGCTCACTCTTTTCCGTGGTCACGTGCTGTTTTATATGGTTTAGACACAACCACCAAAAGATAATCAAAGTCGTGGGTCATCGAAGGCATACACTCGATACTAAAAATGAACAAAAAATATGATACCCATTTTTTATGGCTCCTAAAAAGCTGCAAATACATTGAATAATAATTTTTAAAAAAGTAGCACGGTCAGGTGACTTCCGGTAACTTCTTACTCCCCAGTCAGTTTCGATTTCGAGCAGTCTCGTTTTAAGACTTTATTATAAATATACATGATGTTGTATCAAAATACTGATTGGGTATTTTGACACTGTAATAGATCGCCTGGCGAAACATAAACAAAATTTTTTGGGGGATGGCAGTGTCCCTCTTAGGCAAACTGTGTCAGGAATTTTGAAGAGCTATGCTTACTTGCCTTCACACGAAAGCAGTAGAGCCAGGCACGTAGCCAGGGGGGGGGGGGGGGGGGGGGGCATGGGGCTCATGGTTCCCCCCCCCTCCCAAAATTTTTCATTTGCTGGGGCCTTCTCTCCCCCTCCCCCCCTCATACAGCATTTTGTCGTGGGCGGGCCCCCCCCGAAACAAAATCCTGGCTACGTGCCTGAGTGGAGCAGTACTGTTCGTGGGTTATGTCAGTAACAGCGAGCTGTGCAGCAAATGCCACTTACGCAATCTATAGAATCGGAAATTTAACAAAAACTCTCCCACTCTCCTGCTCTCTCTGCTCTGTTGAATCTCAGCTTATTAAGGCAGCGGCATTGATTGGATTCCTAATACTGTGAAACCTCGGGGACGAGGGATCAAAGGGGACTAACACGAAACGATCTCAAACTCAGCTGCGTCTTGACAGTGGTGTTTGAGACAGCCTTGTTCTTTGTTCTCTAATCTCAGTAATTGAATCCCTTCTCTAGAAAGTGTCTGGCCCATTCTGCGCTTCATCTCACTGTCACTTGGCAAACAGCAAAGGCTATGATCACACTGATCCAATCAGTGTGTCAAAGGGAGACATATGACTGCTGTACCCTATGTCTTTAGTTGTGCACCATGCTGTCAAGTCCATGGGCGGTTGAGAGACAGAGGAAAGCCAATATTACATAAATTTTGAGTGACGGGCTAGCGACTCTTGGACACGAAAGAGGGTACAGGCAAGAAGGGAATACCTCCTTCTCTTCTCCAACTGCTTAAGCTACGCTCTTGCCTGCCCTGACTTTGGTAATGGCCGTCACGTGCTTCACCTCCGTCGCTTTGATTGGGTCGAAGGGGCCATAGCGTTCACTCTTTATCGTTACGGTAAAACAAAATGTATCAACTGCTTTGCTCTAACATGTGGTTTTTTTTTGTTTGTTTCTTTTTATAACAGTGGCCTTACTGTGAAAAACGGTGCACATACTGCAACTTCAACAAGTATGTGAGGTAGGATGTGATGGTCATAGAATTCTAGTACTAAGTAATCAATCATGGGAGTTTTAATTAATTTCCAGTCAAAACGTGGACCACACCGGGATGATGGAGTGCCTCATCAGGGAGTTCACAACGATTGTCGAACTTGCCGGAATCTCCCAGGTCACCTCGGTGTTTTTTGGCGGTGGTAAGAGTCTCCACACTTTCCTTTGGTGTTTACAATTACCTTTTTTGTATACATTGGCTGCGTGAACACGCTACATAGCCAGCCTCTGAAATTGCCATGCCTTTGGAAGTATGTTCGAGATTAACCGATTAAATAATTGAAAAGGTTTTGCAGTGGAATGATGTTTTCAATACAAAGCTTAGCAAACGTGGTGCTGTTGTAACAAAGATACAGTAACAAAACTGTGTTTAGTCATTTGGAGAAAATGTCCTTCCCGTTACATTTGGTCTAATTGAGTCTTGCGGCATGTAGTTGCAGTAATTGGTGGGCTGCTTCCAAGTTTTCAGAAACTGATTTCTAGAAACATGAGAAACATGCACTTGAAATTCAGACTTTAAGCAGGTTTAGTTTTCAAATACGAAACGAAAGCTCAAGTTGTGTGACATTACTGGTGAACATTCTAGCAGTCAATGAGGTGACCAAAACACTGGCCAATTAGCTGCATGGCAGGTCTTTCGAAGTTGCTCAGCTCACATGAAATTTCTCCCGTGGGACGGGAAGGTTGGTAGTAACGACTTGAAAGAGAGCAAATGCTTCCACCTGGAATGGTGGAAGCATTTGTATGTTCACTTTCTGCTTTTTTTAGTTGAGCTTTCTGTTTGCATGTGATGTTGGTACTGCAGTAATTGTACACACTTGTCACCGCCCGCTTGTGTGACCTTACTTGTAACATACGCTTATTTCTGAGACTTTCAGTTTGGTTTTTGGTAGTGATGAACTGAATCTGCCAAACATTGGATTCGGCAAACCAAGCTTTTGAAGGAAAGTTTGGCAAAGATTCAGCAAAATTCGGCAAACATCTGCGCATGGGCGAAGAACGCGACAGGGCCATGGATTGCAAATGGACGTGCGGTCGTACGGTTGCCATCATACAGTGTAGTACTACCAGCGGTTACGGCGAGGTGCAGAGTAGGCCACATGGTAACTGTGTGTTTGTCAACCTTTGTGAGTGTGGTCCTCTTCAATATTTTCTGCCTCAAGGACAGCAGATAGACCAGAAATGGACGCAAAAATAATGCAGTCCACTGCAGAAGGGACAAATGGTGCTGCACATTCAGGATAACAAGATTTTGATTTCATCTTTCCAGTGATGCAATGAGGTAGTTGCAACATTGACTGTCAAGTACTTTAAAGCACTCCTTGCCATTATAGCAATCCTGTTTTCGGTTCCTGAGTAGTTTGTGCCAAAACAAATAATATAGCTTTTTAATTAGTGTTATTTCATGGTTTTCATCTATTCATATAAAACTAAACAAAACTATCATGCTCGACATTGCACATTCAACATTCCTAACTCCTCCCATCTTCCTAAATGTCTTGTAAATTTTAACATCAGAAACCGGCATTTTAGAAGTTAAAAACGAGACGTTGTGAATATGGAACGCACACTTCCATGCAAAGCTGAAGTGACCCAAATCGAAAAATATGTATATTTACAATAACATTGCTATCTCTTCTGGTGAAGGCTCAACAGCCGTTGCATTCATTTTCACGCACGAAATGGTGACTCGCAGAAGAAGTATAAAACATAGTGTTACCACCTTTTTTTTTCAACTATACACAGTTGCAGGCTTGCGCTGATCAAACCTCAAAACCGAAATTCGCGTATCATGGCTGCACTTGCCACTAATACACCCCGTTGTTGCTCCGCTTCTGCAGAAAGTCACTTTAAAATTACCGGTAAACACTCAGAAATGACACTGATACATTTATCTTGTGTAACATCACATTTTATAATAATAACTGCATCAATATGCATTTAAAAAAAAACCTAAAAACTTTTTTTGCATGAAAAAACAATATTTCCTTTTAGGTTTGGCAACAATGTATCTTTGCCGAATCTTTAGAAAAGTTCGGCAAAAATTTGGCTTTGCCGAACCCTAAGATTCAGCACCGAATTTTCGATTCGGCAAAAGTTTGGCCAGTCACTAGTTTCTGGGCAGCGTCCATCATAAGAGACCCTTACCACCACAAGTAACAGATGAAAACATTAAAAGTGATTGCAGAGCTCATTTAAGAACACACTATTACCCCCGTGAGACATGAGAAGCTAATTAGGTCAAATAAGAGTTTGGCAATCAGCAAGCCAGCATACGCTGCATTTCACTGTAATGGTTTTAGAGAAAGCCAGTGTAGAAAGTTCTCAACTATGGCTCAAGGTGTTCATGCGGTTTAGTTACAAGCAAAGTATTGTCATCACACTAGAAAGCCACAGTTATGTAACTCGAGATGCAGAAATTATTAATAATGAGTGCATGTGATGGTAAGTGGGGCAAGGCAGATAGGTTTCAAGAATTATGCAGCGTGCCTGCTATATGTGTCAGCATAACCTGGCGAACTGCGGAAGCAATGGCCTCGGCAAGTCATGCATGCGACATCATACTAAATCCTCTCCCCCCCCCCTCGAAAGCTCTCACATGCTTCACTCCTCCGCTTTAAATGACTTACGCAAGGCACAGCTTTTGCACTTTGACAACTTGTGCTAAGGTGGAGCGGTACGGGCTGCCCCCCTATGCTGAAACAAAACACACCCACACATACAGTTGTCGACAAAGCCAACGAAGCTACTGGAGAGTGCGGCCTCAGACAAGGCGTACGTCGTGCCCGTGGCGAGTTCCTGTCAGGTTGCACGATTAGTGGCTGTCAACATCAGGCTATCAGCAGCACAGCTGAGCATGACACCGTCAAGAATTTCAAGGTCGGATAGCATGATGTTGATAGCCACTGGTCTGGCAACCAGTCAGCGTTTGGTGAAATTGGTTCCTCTTACCAACAATATGATGCATGTTTGTAGTGCAAGGCCTGACTCTCCTGCTGCATTGTTGGTTTTGTCCTCAACTGGACACCTATACACATAGAGGTCTAGCAACCACAATTGGGGAATTGGTCTATTGTCGGCACCGACGAAGACAACAAAGTTGCTCATCAGCCCGAGCCCGACGACACGAGCAGACGACACGGCCTTTTCGCCTTAAAGGGAAGATGGGGCACTTCTACATTTGAGAAAAAACGCTTGAATTGCGTTCATTTGGCCTTTAGAATAACAGATATCAAAATTATATTTCAATGCGACGCGCCGGAGAGCCACAAGAGCAATTTCAAAATAGGGCTGAAGCCACGCCTCCCTAGCCTTGGGCAGCCAAAAGAGCCGTCGATGACGTCACGGACAGCGACTGTCTTTCGCGTTTTTCTCGCGTTTAACAATACTTACGCAGCAAATGGTTTGGGTATTCGGGTTCACGGGGTAAAAATGCACTAGAATTCACTTCTAACTCATTTTTTCCAAGAAGCTCCGTAGCTTCCCTTTAACTTGGGAGTCGGTCGCAGCATTTGTTCCATCCTCTACGTCGAATGCGTTACAGTCACGTCCCTAGTGGCCAAGTTTAGAATTTTACCCATGGGGTCAACAACTCGAATTATTTGTTTCTGTTTCTAACGCACTGCTTGGCTCACATTGCCAAACGCCTCATCTTCAGTGTTCAGCTGGGACTTGGGCTCGATCAGCGATGCACCAATTGAACTTTAGTCCTGTTGAACACCGACTCAGCACTCGTGGCCAATCTGTGTGGAAAACAACTTGTACAAAGTGCCCCTGATAATTCTATCTTTTTGCCACGAGCTTTAAATAACTACAAAAGCAGCAACCATCACACTGCTTTCCTCAACCTATGTAACAAATTCACTACGACAGATAAGTATGCTTTTCCAAAGAAAGAGAAATACTTTTTCTACACGGACTGGAAGCATGATGCTCGAGAGTTGCCTTGCAGGGACACCCAGTCTGATGAGGCCGGCAGACATCGAGAGACTTCTGGGGGTGGTGTCTTCCCTCAGCCCAGACCCCGGACTTGAGGTGACTCTGGAGTGCAACCCGACACCCGCGGCCAGGCAGACGCTGAGGTGAAGCGGGCCCAGAGCCATGTCGGCTTGCCCGACCAATAGCTGTAACCGAGACACTTTGCTGTAGGGACTTCAAGCGTGCGGGAGTCAGTCGGGTCTCCGTGGGAATTCAGGTGAGAATGCTCTTTTGGAGAAGTTGCCACACACTGTATTTTCCAGACCCGGCTTGTAATTCGCACCCAGCGTGTAGTCTGCACCCCGCATGTAATTCACGAAAGGGTGAAAAATAAAAAGCTTTCAATTAGATAGTTTGCACCTGCTGCATAGCCTGCACCCGGTGCGTAGTCCGCACATAAAAAATGCTCACACACAGTACACCTTGACAAATTATTAGCTCCCAAGAAAGTTTGTGTCATACATAAATTGTAATAAAAATGCTTTCGTCATAATGAATGATCTAGAAAAGATGATTCCTTGTGTAGTCCGCACCTGTACATAGTCTACACTGCATAAAAGTTTTACTTTCACATATGTATAGTATGCGGACTATAGTTGGAAAAATTATGTTAATACCAGCCATCTGTCCATGTTACAGTAATTGTCCACCCTCTACTTTTGAGGTCTTCGAGAACTAAGCAAAGACATAATACCAAGTGCATTCCCCAGACCTCCGAGCCTACTGAGCTAACCAAGGTGCTCATTGCCGTGCACTTCTCCATGCACCCCGGTGCAAAGTAGTAAAGCCCACCCTATCACGTGCCCCTTCTGAACTTTGTCCTCTTAGACCTGACAAGTGGCTGTCCGCAAGTTTTTCAAGATAATTTCCAAATATTGGGTGAACACTCACCACCCCAAAATTCCCTCTCAATTTTGGGGATGCCCACCCAAATTGAGTGGGGAAATTGAATTGGGGTAAATCTAAACTAGACCATCGATTAAATTTTTCCACTGAGTGAGCCTGATTCGGTGTGATGCACGCACTCAGGTTCACCGCCAAATTTTCCAAGAAGCATTTCCCCGCCAAATTTAATGAGAAAACTTGAATTGGGTATAGTGATACAGCAGTTCAACTTTGAAAGAATTTACATGAAAACAGTGCTGTGCTAAGACAGATTGAAAGCACTGAGCTCAACATATGTCTTAAGATATGTAGGTATTGTCGAGGGTCCGGGAGAGATATATATATTGTCTAGCTGCCAGTCATATTTCCTCGTGCACAGATAACTCATGCAAACCCCACCTCACTATTCCTAGAGCTACCACCTTTAGATTCCCTTCGCTGCAGTTATTAGTCCCGGACTGGAATTCGCTCCCAGATGACATTGTAACCTTACAGGACCCAACCGATTTTTAAAAATGCGCTCGGTGCATTAATAATAAATAAAATATATTTTATTTATTTTATTACCTTAATAATAAATAAAATATATTTTAAAAATGCACTCAGTGCCTTGTATGAAATGTAACATCCTGGCAAAAGGAAGATTTACGAGGCATCGACTGAACTAAAAAAAACTTAAGGATCATTCAACCTGCCATAGTTTGTGCTTTCGTAGTATGAGATCGCCACACAAAAAGATGTAGGCAAACTTGAGAAGATACAAAACTTAGCATTGAGATTTATTTACAAACAGTTTAACAGATTTGACTCCCTATCGGATATGTTACGTCTATCCAAGCTGACTGCTCTCGGTCTGCGACGGAAAGCAGTTCGGTTAAAATTCCTGCGTTCTCCTCACTATCGAATTTAAGCATTCAACCCAAACGTTACCTTACACCGAACGTGAAACGCATTAGACTCGTCATTCACCCAGCTTAACGCCTGTCTTCGCAATAACTAACCTGTACAAGAATTCGTATTTTCCCAGAACAATTGTCGATTGGTACAAACTACCTAGCAAAGCCTCTGCTGGCTTATATTTCAAAATACCCCAGTATCTCTTCTTTTTTTTTGTTTTTTCGTTTGAAAGTTTTGTGATATGATGCAGATTCTTTATTTGCATTTGGTTCCTCCCTAGCTAAAATGTTTTTTTGTGCTCCAAGAAATTTCGTTAACAAATTGTTGTGACTCTTTTGTGCTATTTTGTATTGCCTAATTATGCCCAGTATCGCTATATAAATAAAAAAAAAAATGTTTTACAGCTTCTTTCTTTAAATGTTGGTTAACATGTGTGTTGATAGTTCGTCACCCCTGATGTAAAGCCCTCTGCAGGTGATTTAAGGGAACACCAAACGAAATAAAATAAGTATGAAGGATCCCGATTCTATTGCATTACATCCCCTTTGGCAGCAGCCAGATAAAGGGAGCAGGGTTTTAGGTTTAATGCAGTCACCCGTTGCTGTGTCCCCCCCAACGCAGTGCCTGCAGGATGAGGAGCTTTCCCGGCTGGGTCGCACCCACACCAGCGAGGACGCCTTGAGGTGCGTTGAGGAGGCGGAGTGCCTGTTTCCAGGCCGCGTTTCGGTGGATGTGCTGTATGGGCGTCCAGGACAGGACTTGCAGCAGTGGCTCCGTGAGCTCGAACTGGTGAGAGTCTTGAATGCACCACATTTATAAGGTTGGCTTTTGCGGTTTTTGGGTCTGTACCCAAGATGTAGCCTCGACGACGAACCCCCGACGACGACGTCACAATAGGCTCGTTCTATTTTTCTGCACCGGCTGCACTCGATGCACACGGCCCTTTTTGATCTACGAGTGCAACCTGCCTGAAAACACGACCGGAAGAACAATGCTCTGCACTTTTCTGCACCGTGCTACACTTTTCTGTGCTGTGCTACACTTTTCTGCGCCGGTGCAGGCTGGTGCAGGTGAACAGAATGAGCCCAGTGTTCGCAACTGATGATGGAATAGTGACGAGTCCTAAAAAGGGAAATCCTCGGGTCATCGTTTTAACACTGAATGAATTTCGTCGGCCGAATTCCACGAGAAAACTGTCACAAAGAACCGTCACGGAGAACCATCACATCAATTTCCCCGCTAAATTAAGGGGGAAAATCATTGTCACTGACGTCAATCTCCCTGCTAGATTTAACGGGGAAATACCGTATTTACTCGAGTAATAGCCGCACTGTTTATGAAGAACACCTGAGGGTTTGCTTTTTTGCGGAGCATGCGAATTGCCAATCACCTCAATCAACAGCATGATTCCAGCGGTTTACGGGACAGAGATAACGTCTTCACGTGAAGATACCATTCTGTGAAGATTGCATTTGCATGGAGAATCGTGTTCTCAATCTAGTTATTCGCTGTGTAATTTATGCGCAACGCGATGATTGGGTATATATGAGTTTTGCGGGAAAGCAGACGGAAGGGCATTGTTCATAAATAGTGCGGCTATTCGCGACTCCAGCGACCTATAGGGGGCGCCACCACCAAACGAACATGGCGGCTGGGTCCAGGTCGCGTCGGCTCGGCCGGGCCGCCTGAACGGGTGGCGCATTCAATTTAACAGATTTTCTTTTGTTTAATTCCCAACTTTACAGGTATTCGAACTGAGACGGTTAAGTGTAGTCGGTGCGCATAAACTTGCCGAGCATAGTTTTGTTTTGCCGGTTCTTTTCATGTCAAACTTTCTTTCGGAGGCTTCGTTCAAAACCGAAACTATGGGCTCCGGAGAAACGGTAATAGACTCTAATTAGTTTTGATCATCTAAGGAAAGCGGCGATGGCTACAGAATTCTTCCGACGAGAGTAATTTTCAACTAACTCGCATGCCTCGACCATGGGACTTATCTGTCCGAAAAAGGAAAATTACGAAAATTAAGCACGCGCTTCTTGTGCCAAGGAGCATGTTAACCCGCTGGCGCTTCACTAAGCAGCTGATACTCATATTTCAATTCAGGTTTTAGTAGCAATCGAGAAGTCATTTTGACGAGCGGTTTATGTATTATATTACGTACTATGTCCCACTAAAGCGATATTACCTTCGGGTTGAAATATGAACTTATTTAACTAGCTATTAGGTGAACTGCTGAATAAAAGTATATTTGACAGACGGAGAGATACTACTTAAACTTAGCCAAATGGTTCTAGCCGGTAGAACGGAGACGAATGCGGACAAACTGAGGAGAGTCTTCATCGGAGATTCACTCAGACCTCTCTGCATTGAACTTGACTTCGAATCCTGAACGGATAAAATCAGTATTTTTTTGTGACCGGTCAACCTGAGCAATGTAGACGTATATTGCTGCTGGCTTCGACGGGGGTATAATATAAATATTGGAGGCGTGATAGATCCTTATGCCGTGACAGCTTCTAACTTTCCGAGACGCGTCCCCCCACCTTTCGAAAACAGATAATTTCCCTCATTAATTGTATGCAGCGAGCAGGTTTTCCTGATTCAAGTAATTGCGAAATCAACCCAGCTCCTTCAGTGTGGTCCAGAGGTTTTTTCAGCGAAAAGCAGCCAAGATGAATAGCCAATGAACCGGCCGGCGTGGGTGGCTCAAACTTGAAGCTAATCGAGCACATCCAAACTCAAGAAAAGCAACAATCGAACCTTCCCATTCACTTGACTGCAACATTGGTGCTCCCTCCAGTGAAACACCTCGTTTGTCGTCCTTAGGCCACTGTTCTACATCCTTATAAAGAAACCACTTATCAGTTACCAAGTAGTCGTCACTTTGAATGTGATTCGAGACAGATAAGAAATCAAAACGTTTTTCCGTGATTCCTCTCCATCCAAGAAATCGAAAGCAAGTGACTGTGTGTTGTGGAGTAAACGGGCTTTCAAACACGTGATGGAAGGAAACAATCTACTGAGGCTTCACCACACTAATGAACACTCCATCAAACTTAAGAAATGTTCGAACCTTCGTCAAATTACATCGTTCGCCACCGCGCCGACAACACGTGTCCGCGAAAACCACCAGAGACGCGGAGGGGCGCGGAGCGACCTGGTCCGGCTGGTTCCTGGTTTTCCCGCTTGGCGGCGTCCGTTTTGCTGGAGTTGCGAATTGCTCGAGTAAATACGGTAGACGTCGCACGGACATCAAGTCACGTGAAGTCGATTTTCCCACTATATATTTAGCGGGGAAATTGACTTGCCGTGATTGTTTCACATTACCTCAAGTCACGTAATGTCACTTTCTGCAACGTAGTTCTGCGAGCCGGCAGATTGTGCTCCACACATTTTGTGTTCCCTGGTCTTTGTTGGCGTGATCGAGCTTGTGTAATTTTCTTTTCACGTGACCCTGTAAGAATCATGTGGCATGACAACATCATGTGGCACTGTGACGTCTGGCTGTGATTAGACGTCCTGGGGTGACATGATGTCACAGTGGGCCTAAAAACGGTACGCATTTAGAGCACCTATGCGATATACCTATACTCTTTCGAATGCCCGGCCTCTGGCACTTGCTCGTTGCCTTTTGCTGTACCCTGGCCACGCTTGCACACTCGAAGCCCGCGAGACGCCTAAGTGTTATGGAAGCAGGAAGCTCGCTCTGACAACTGAGAGCCTTCCCTGCTGTTCTCATCCTGTCAGCGACCATAGTAGCAATAGCAGTTATCCTCCAGCATGCGCGTTTGATGTGCAGGTGCTGACCCTGGACACTGCCCACGTGTCCCTGTATGAGCTGACCCTCGAGCGAGGCACACGACTCTTCAAGGACGTGCAGGCGGGCAGCCAGGTGAGTATAAGCATGCGCTGCATACGGGAAAAACCTCTTTGTACCGACCTACTAAACGTGAGAGCGGCAGCAGCTGGAAAAAATTTGCGGTTGTATTTCAATCTCTCAATCGATACCGTGTTACGCAGAACTGCCGCGTTTCTGCGACGCTCCTCCCCTCCGTCGTTTCCTGCCTCCTCTTTATTGCGACAACGCGGAGCATGAGCAGACTGTGTTTGGGGAGTGCCACGAGGCAGTGACTTGGGGGCGTTTTGACACGTGGCGCGTCTGAAGACGCGTAGTTATGGTCGCCGATGAGGTGAGAACGGCGGGGAGGAGCTTCAGTTGTCCCACCTCCAGCGCGAGCGTTTTACATTCGACAATGCTTCTGCATCTCGTGCACCTCGAGCGGGCACGCGCAGCTGAAGCACGTCGAAAGGCAATGAGCGTCCGCTGGAGGCCCATTCCTGCCTCGTCAGTGTCCATATAGCTGGATACGCAGAAGTTTGGCGGGCGGCCAACTCTGCAGTTTTCCACGCACTTCCGACGCACGCCCTCCGACAACGGTAAATCCGGGTTTGCTGCCACTAAAATTTGCAATTCGGCATTACTACAATCTCATATGCAGCTATCTGCATATGAGATTGTTTTCAATATTGGATCTTCAATATTTTTCAATATTGAAGCTTCAATATTGGATCTATTCGTGAAGTCCCACCAGCTGGCTCGCCTTCTCAACAAAATTCCATGTTTTCTATATACAGTCGCCGACCGATTTTTCGGACGCGGATAATTCGGACTTGTTCAATATATCGGACCTAACGAAGGAACCATGACCTACCCGATGACCTACCCGATAGAAATAGTGCATATTCACAACCTGCATTTTGGACAGCTTGAAATCTGAAAGTTAGATTTTACGGACAAGATCGTCACGAGCATTCGGTGGGAAACACCACCGTGACTTTGGTGGCGAGCCAGTGGCAACAACGGCTACTTGAGGGAATAACTTATTTACATTCATTCACAAATGCCCGCAGACGGCACGCGCCCTCGACCGACGCTCGGGACGTATTGTCAGAAAACCCCCGCAAAAGGGTCCAACATTCACCTTGAAAGGGGACACATGTTTTTCACGTAAGGCGGAGCAGCGGGGCCACTCACGCCTGTCTTGCATATTCCCAGCGGCAACCCCCTTCTCCTCGAAGAGGGGGTATCTTGGCAACACCGAAGGGCAGCAAAAGATAAACAAACAATAAAAGAAAACAAATGCGAGAAGCTGAACTGCGAGAACACCACACGTCACACGCCAAGGACGACATGCAGGTAGAAATGCACCTGTGCACGAATCCATATGCACATTGAGTGCATTGAAGAGCACAGCCAACGTTATCTACAGCGATGGTGGATAGCAGGCCCGCACTGAAGCACGACGCCTTGTGATACTCCCTATTGACTGCGCTGTTCACCGTGCCGCAGCTCGCCCGTTAGCATTAGCAGATTTTGGTGATTTAATAAACTTTTAGACATACTTAATACAGTCGCCGACCGATTATTCGGACTTTGCAGGGACCGAAAAAACGTCCGGATAATAGAGCAGTCCGAAAAATCAGCAGATTGAAAAACTTGCCTTTATTACTTCCAAGTGGGCTTAAAAAAAGCCGTAAATAGTGCCTTGGTTCAGGTTACGCCTGCGTGCCTTGTTTTGGGGGTTACGCCTCCGTTTCCGTTCGACAGCTTTCTGTTAGCTTGAGAATCACTGCCTTCTTCTCTAGCATTATGGTCGAGTAGCAGAAGAACAGATGGGGCCATGACGTCCAAGCCAGCGTTGTCCAAACTACGGTAGAGCACTATATAGCTCCTACGGAGCAGAGTAGCGCAATCCTTTGATCCCCATGTTTCGCCGACAACATGGCCGACAGAGCAGCTCTGCGCGAGTCACGTGGTACTCAGGGTTCCAAGAGGCGGCCCGCCCTATGGGAGAATACATGGAGGTCGACTCAACACAGCTGATTAAAAAATAAGCGCCAAGTTCACACTTTTCGAAACTAGTCTGTCGTGAAGTTGGTAAAGCACTAAACACTTTATCAAAGTTTCCCGAATATTGGATGAGTGTGCAAATTTTGAGAATGCAATTTTCAAGGCAATGGCGTTTGAAGCAGACGATTTTTGTGCGCAGCGGAGATAGACTTTCTGGGTTGGCCGGAGAGGGTCATGTGAACGCTGTGACGTCGCTGTGACGTTGACGCGTCGTCTGCTGCATGATGCCGTTCATGCAATTTTTTTTACAAAAATTACGTCCTCACTTAGCACACAACTCAGCGTAAATTATACTAAAATGTTCCTTTATTATGTCAAAAACGATTGTCGTTCCGTACATCTCCACAACACTGAAGAAACAACAATTTCCTCACGTTCCCCATGCATTTCTGACCGGAGTTGGAACCTCTGGGCGTTCGCTGCTAGTCGCCAAGAGACGGCGTTCTAGATTGCGCTACTCTGCTCGGAAGGAGCTATATAGTGCTCTAGTCCAAACGAGATGAGAGGTGCAAATCCACGAGCGCAAAATGGCGACTCGCGATGCGAAGGTACGAAAAACAAAGCAAAATGATAATAAAGATGATGATGACGTGCAGCTAAATGGGAAAAAAAGGGCTAGCATAGCGTCACCTAGCGGTAGGACTCAGGAGTGCTCAAGTAGCGCTGCCAAACCAAGCCAACCAACATAGAATTCAAACTGGCAACCAACATAGAATTCAAAATGGCCGCTTCTCGATGGTGTTTTTCGCTGATCGCTCGCGACAATTTTGTCCGAATAATCAAACTTTCGGACTTCAAGCTGTCCGAAACATTGGTCGTGAATATACACTATTTCTATGGGGTAAGTCACGGTTCTGCCTTTAGGTCCGAAATATAGAACAAATCTGAATTATCAGAGTCCGAAAAAACGGTTGGCGACTGTAGATTGAAATATTTGGCGTGGGGTCTTCCTAGGCGATACTAAAGAGAGCTGCATTTGTTTTTCGGTATTGAGGGTCAATTGAAGTTACCCTTTAACCCTCTGACGGTCAAGTTTGTTTCCCAAAAGATGTTTTCCAGTGGTTGGGTTTTGTTTCCAAAGGAATAATATAAAGAAAGGGTCAATGTGCAGGTTTTTTTTAATCATCTAGGGGGGGGGGGGGGGGGGGGGGGGGGGCATGTGCAGTGCTTGTAAGCTGTTTAGGTTTAGAAGCATCAGATGGAAATATTGAAGGCGAAAGGTTTTCACCTTTCTTCCATTCGGTTCCATTTTGGCAAGTTTGCTTCTGCAACATTCCGGCAGTTTCAGATTCCGAATCGGAGGTACTTTACAGTGCTTCTCCATCAGATGGTAAGCTGTCATCCTTTGAATTCAGTTCTGAGAAGTATGAGAAGTCTGAATCGGAATAGCCGGTGGTATTATTTCCACTACCAACAGAGCAGGCAAGATACGAAGCAACCATCTTGTGCATATCACATACACGAAGTGTCTAATTTCAAAACCATAAATTCTCTCAGGAAAGTGAAACACCGTGTGAATATATAGTGTATAGTTCACCAAAGACATAGCAATTAGCAATGTCTCCTTCTGTGCGTGCGGCTTTCGATTTAGATGGAAACTGGTGGAGTAGCCAGAAATGTTTTTCGTGGGGTGCTGAGGTTGGCTGGTATGTCCATGACCTGGGGGAGGGGGGGTCAAAATGCATGTATATTAAGGGGTCCGCTGGATCTTTTTGGGAGGGGGGGGGGGGAGAGGGAAGAGGGAGAGGGGACGGGAGGGTGGGAGGGCACTAGGCTGAAGCCCCATAATCCTCCCTCCTGGCTATGCCACTGACGGGGACTTGCAAATGTGTAATCATCGCCGTACATGTACAGCGATGACCGTCAAAGGGCTGAAGGTACTGTAATCTTTAGTTTTAAAGACGTCAATGGGACTGTGAAAAATTCGATATAAGCAGTAATTCAATAAAAGTGATAGAGCCAGCAGCCTTCTAATTGAACGGGAACACTGAGGAACACTCTGACCGTATATTTAATAACACAAACCTCGGTTATGAAGAACAGGCGGCAGCTTCATTGACAAAAAAAAATAATTAAGTGGTGTTCCCTGATAATTTCATCCGGGCATCAGCTCTCCTCGAACTGCTCCAGGCGTCGCAAGAACACTGTCGCCGCCACTGCACACCACTTTGTTTCGATTCAGCCGTAGGATGTTTCGTGTCTCTGCAGTCGTCGGCGGTCTCCGAAGTGTCTTTCCGACGTCGCTTTGTGTTTACCCTGGCCGCACGCAAGTTTTACGATTGCAGCATCTGTGGCAGGAGCAACAATGGGAAAGTCTGCAATGACAAGCGTGAACGTAGCAGCTCTGGGAATCGTGCGTCAGCTCGGCAGGCATGCTCGTGAGAGAAAATCCGACGTGCGCAAAGCAGTTGGCGATCTTTCATCTTCGGGTCACGGCGCGCTTTCTCTTGCATGAGAAACTTCTCGAACCCGTCCAGTATGCCTTGCTTGTTCCGTAAAACGGTGGACAGTGTCGAACAGTTGATGTCGGAATGTTGAATTCTTTGGCGATTTCAGATTTGGGCCGGGCACTTTTCTCACCCTCGCAAATCTAAGCAACTTTCGATAAACACTCCCACTTCCATACAACGCATGTGTGCGTGTAGCATGTGGTACGCCGCAAGTGCACATTTGTAGGCACGTGCATTGGGGGCTTTCAAGGGCATGATCTCCTCCGGGCTCCACCGCTCTCTTGGCCCGATTCTAACAAGAGTTGGGCAGCGTCGGCCACGGGCGCCGTGGGTGTCGTCGGAAGGTGGATGCTGCTACCTGCCCATGTCAGCGCATCAGCATCGGAAGTAGCGCTCTGCCCTCCGTCACCCGTTTGTTTCATTTACTTGTTTGCCGTTTACCTCGGTAGAGAAGGAAAAGGGAATGCAAAGATCTCCGTGCGCCTTCGTGGGGCTTGCGTGATTTCGCCACCTCGGCCTTCGTAATATGCG